CGACTCCTCCAACGACGGCGGTTCCAGAAACAGTCAGCTTCTCATTCAAAATCTCGCTCACGATACCAATAATGCGATTGCTGTCGACAGTAATAACAATGTGAAGCTTGCTGCCGCTGCCTCGGTCGATACATGGGTTTGGGGAAACCTGACTCCCGGTCAATATGAGACAGGCACTAAATTCACAACCAGTCGCCCAGATGTGCTTCTCTCTAATGGCAAATATTTTACTCGTGCGCAGCCCACCTATGCCGAGTATGCCGCAGACCAGGTCGTCAACGTCAAGTCAGTCAATGGACACACAGTGAAGGGCGACGGATCAACCGATGATGTCGATTCTCTCAATGCCATCCTGGCAGACAATGCCGCAAACTGCAAAATCACATACTTCCCTTACGGCGTCTATACCGTGAAAGATACCCTAAAGATCCCAGTCGGCTCGCGAATCATGGGCGAGGCATGGGCAGTTATCTCTGGCGCAGGTGATGCATTCAAGGACTCTTCGAATCCTAAGGCAGTCGTTCAACTAGGTGAAGCGAATGACGAGGGCGTGATTGAGATCCAGGACATGCGATTCAGCGTCGGCGAGATCCTCCCCGGCGCTACGATCCTCGAAATCAACGCAGCGGGCAAGAACCCCGGCGACGTGGCGCTGTGGAACACAATGGTAACAGTGGGCGGGACAGCCGAGACGAGCATCAAGGATAACTGCGACAACCAGGATACATCTCAGTGTATGGCGGCATATATGATGGTCCACCTCACCTCATCTTCATCGGCTTACATCGAGAACTTCTGGGGCTGGACTGCGGACCACAATCTTGACGGCGGATCTTCCAAGACGATTATCTCCACTGGTCGTGGTGTCCTTGTTGAAGCTACCAAGGGCACTTGGCTGACTGGCACTGGATCCGAGCATAATTGGCTGTATAATTATAATTTCCACGCCGCGCAGAATGTATATGCCGGTCTTTTGCAGACTGAGAGTCCCTACATGCAGGGCAATGGTGCGACGCAAACTGCGCCTGCACCCTGGACGGCAGAGTCTTCAATTGGTGACCCTGATTTCTCCTGGTGTGACAAGAGTGACCAGAAGTGCCGTACTTCTCTGGCTACCAATGTAGATGGTGGCAAGGACATACTGCTTTATAACAGTGCGGCGTGGGCATTCTTTAACGGCCAGTGGAATGGCAATTATGGCACTCAGTGTGATGGGTCGTGCCAGACCAACATGATGCGCGTGGCTAATGATCCTGAGAACCTGGTTTGGTACTCGATTAGCACTCGCAAGACGGATGTCATGGTTCTCGATGGCAAGTCCAATCCGAATGAGCTGAACCACCCTGGTGGTTGGGAGGCTATCATTCAGTCTTATAGACAGTTTGCCTCCTAGGCGCGATGGATTTTGACGGAGCGATGGGACGTAAATAGTAGTAAAGGCATTGCTACCTTCTTGTGAATAGTCAGCCTCCTCAACGGGAATATAATTTAGAATTTGTGTTGGGAACCAACGTCTACCTAGCAATGACCCATAAGAATACCCAGAGCCTGGAGAGCTGGCCACCCCGCCAACTCCGTGACGAGATTGACCATTCGCACTGCACACGGCAGCAGACACAGGACTACAGGAAAAAAATTGAACAGTTGGGTAAGAATTAGAACTTGAATTATAACCGCAGCACCGTGTTCCAGAAAAACCCCTATCCAATCCTGAGATTTCGCCGGCCGATCCATTAACGATGTGAAAAAAGGGGAACGTAAGTCAAGATAGCATACAAGCAGCCTTTGTAGTTAAGGTAGGAAGAAGAGGGGATGTCGGAGTATCAAGAAATAAGGAAAAGACAAGTACGCCGCGAAACAATAATAAGCCAAGAATACCCCCCCGAACCCGTATCTGTTGTGAATCTGCATACTCAGCTCGAGGTATGTGCTGCAGTAAAGAAAGACTCTGGGATAAGATGAAGGTGGAAGAGCTATAGCGGAAGCCATAGAAGGAGAAAGAGAATAGAGGAGGAAGGGAAAAAAAGGAAGCAGGGGGAAAGAAGGAAGAAATGAAATTCGATCCCCATAACAGAAGAACCAGAACGCGAAGGGAGGGTATGTTCAAATCTTGGCCGTCGAAAAACGCAACGAGACGGTCATAGCACGTGCACAAACAGAGGATACGAAAGAATCTCTTTACTCCAGGTCGAAGGTCTCGAGCTCTTTCGCGTCCTCATAATCATCAAACTCCAAGCCAGCATCACGGCAGCGTTGCAACCACTTCTGGGCCATGTTGTTGCGTCGACTGACTTCAGCCTTCAATTTCTGGTTGGAAGCGCTGATTTCAGACAACGCATGATTTGTGGTAAGACTGTGTTGCTCAAATCGCTCATCGATGTTCTTCTTCTCCTCTTGGAGTTGGCAGATATATTCGATGGCCCGTTGTAGGATCGCACCCTTATTCTTGTCGCAGTTGGGGACTAGACGAGAGATTTGGGTAATGCCCTCATTGATTGCCTCACGGCGGCGACGCTCAACTGTAGGATGAATTAGCAAGGATATCAAGCAATTAGGCCATATGGGACGAGATGATCCGGATGACATACCCTCCTTGTGGTTATTCTTGCGGATCTGGTGCCACTCGGGAGAGCCGACCGTGGGCTTTGAGTTCATAGATTGAGCCTCACGCGCGGCGTATACTGCAGCAGCGGTTGAGTTGTGATTGTGAGCACCGGACATGGGTCCCTGACCCATGTCGTCAGGGAAGTTGAGCCCCTGAGTCAGGTTATTGGCGTCAAAGGCCGAATCCGGGGGTGGCGGATATTTGTGAGGATGGGCAGCAAGTGCAGCTTTCGCGGTGAGGGTATTGTCATCAGACATGCCACTCTGAGCTTGACCAACATGTTGCAAGATCTGCTGGTCAATGTTGAGAACCTCTGAACCCGTGTTGGGCAGCCCATGGTCGTAGTTGAGGGAGCTGTGGAAGTTGTGCTGGTTATCGGGACCCATGCTGCCGTTGCTTCCGTGAGAGGAGCGGTTGAGGCGCTGGGAGTCGTGGCCAAGGTCCTCGGAGCCTTCACGCTTGCGTTTGTTAACACTGTCGGGGCTGTTCATGGTGGGGTCGGACATGTAGTTGTGATCGATCTAGTTGGGCAGAGGGTTAGTCATCGAAGGGCAACACGAAGGTTAAATGCTGAGAAGGCGAGGGCTCGAGTGGGAGAGTTAGTGGAGAGTTGCGGGTTAGTTATGAGAGATTGTCAGATGAGCCGGCCCTTCACCGGCAAGATCAATGATCTGCCTCGGGGTAAACAGATCGACGCGTGAAGCCGACGCGCCCGGTGGAAAGCATGTTTCGCCACAAGCTGGGCCAGGAGCATTCAGGCAAGGTCTGTTCTTTGCGGCCAGGGGGCTCCGACAAAGGTGGACAGGCGCATGGACATCGCATGGGCAATATCCAAGACTTCATTTTCCACTACCAGGCCTTCCGCAGACCCTCCGCGACGCGTAGTCATCAAAAGGCGCGTTCAAGGTCGATTGAGGAGATGGTGCGATGAGGGGAAAGGGGGCAAGATGAGGAAAGGGCAGCGGCGACAAGATTGACAACGATCCCGACGCGACCACGACACCTTGGGACATGGGGAGGGAAGATAGAAGGGGTTGATGGAGTCGTTACCTTGGGATGATCTCTTTATCACCTGACAAGAAGTCACCTGCCCAGGACAACAACAAGACGAGGTCACGTTGTTGGTGATATCCGAACTTCCAAACTAGAACCCCAAAAAAGAAAAGGTAAAGATGAGGGGCAAGATGAGAGTAGTATACGCGATCGGATGCGTATTGATGTTCCAAGAGGCGATTTTTTTATGGAAAAAGGGAGTTCTTGAGGGTGTCGAGCGACCGACTCGAGAGGAGTGCTCACGTGGATTGAGGAGGAGAGGTGCGGGTGGGTGGAGCGACCACTGGTGCAGAACAGTCACCTGACCTCAAAGGGTGTCATTTGAGGATCCTTTGAGGACAACTTGGGAATTCCATCATTGAAGAAAGAAAATAATTACTTCCAAATGCTTCAAACCATCATAAATCTATTTCCTATGGCACCTAATCCTAATTCGATTCACCTTCCAAAAAATGTGTTTGAATCATGATTTATCAACTCCATTCCGAAGTCACCATCACGGTCACAGTCACATGCCTGGATCCCGTGCCCCTCACCCTCACACTCTCAGTAAAAAGCAACTTGAACTTCCAAGGCCCAACACACTTTGCTCTTTCCTGCCCCGATTGGTCCATTCGGCGCCTAGCCCCATCACGTGAAAGCACGGACCACCAGGAAGTATACACTTGCATTAGCTAGTTAGCATACGCATTTTATGTACTCACCCAGGCAGTTCAGGTTGGAGTATAGTACTAGTATCCCCGCATATATCGTCCCATCATGATACTGTACACACCCCTTACCCCCATACACCTACTGGTCATTACCTCACACATTCAAGTTCCTATCATTCTAAAAAAAAGCAAATGCAACGGTGGAAACTTCTCGTCGATCAAATCAATATCTTTTGAAATCATTTGTCACATGGAATTACAAGGCATTGAACTCGCGCTAGGGTTGCACCCGGGTAGTCTGCGATCGCCCAGTCATGAGACCTCTTCGATGAATTAAGGTGGGCTTTCTGCAGCATTCGACGATCTCCCATACGATCACGATCATCCGGGACCCCGTTAGATCGCCGGGGTGGACAGGTGCCGACCATGGCAGTCAAGATGGAAATATCCCAGCTATTAACCACCTCCCTCCCTCCGAACCCATCATGGTAGAGTCGTAGGTATAGGCAGATCTGTCCTCACACAGCCACACCCGTGTCAGGATGTATACAGGGCCAGAGATAAGATGCGTCCCACGAGGCAGACAGGCAGCCATCTATATCCCCACAAGGCGCGACTTCTTCCCCACCCCCACCTCCATGGATGCGTCTCTAGTCTCCAGACTCTAGAGAAAGAAGGAATGGAATGTCTCACTCTCCGCGCGACTTGCTCCTCAATCCAAACACCATTTTCGGATCTGCCGTAGTATCCGCGAAACAAATACCCTCCTCGCCCGCGCCCAGTAGGTCCCAACAAAGGATCTTCACATTGAAGTCGCGGCCCTGGTCGATCGCCTCCACCGGACCGGCACCTGACCCATCCAACCCTCCTTCTCGAGGCCGCTGCGTCACGGATATGACGGCGCTCGTCCCCGCATACCGTGCCGGTGGCTTCGCATCATCTGCCGCGGGTTCTTCCCCGGCGCGATTGGCAAAGACGATCACCACCTGCTTATCATCCTTGCACGCAGCCTTGGCCTTGGCCATATCAGAGCCAGAACCAGAATCAGAACCAGACTCGGAATCCAAATCAGAATCTCCCCGGCCCCCTTCAGCATCGGGCCCATCCACATTCTCCGCATGCTGCATTCTCTTCTCGATGAGCGGCCAGAACCGCTGTAGCCAGTAATTGAACGTGTCCATCTCGGGCTGGCCCTCTAGCGCATCTAGTTCCTCCCTGCTGAGAAGGGTCAACCAAGCCATGGACAAAATGACGAGTTGCGATTTCGAGTCCAGGACCCGGTTGGCGAATTCCCACGCCGTGTAAGGCGCCTCGAATTTGTAGGGGTTGATATCCATGCAGATCCCAAAGGATGTGGCGACCCGCTTCTCGGCTGCATGTCGGGGGGTATCACTCGCATCTGCATCCCCCGCCATGGCAGAGGCTGTCGTCATCCCGTTCTCGTTATCGTTCCCCTGCTGCGACGGGAATGTCAGCTCGCGGAATCCCTGCTCCACGTTGCCTTCTGATGCCCAGCTTTCGTCGGTATAGTACAGGAAGCTCTTGCGGTAGTTGTGGATGACTTCGCCCGTCTCGTCGACGACGACGAGGGAGTTATAGAATTTCGTCTCCTTTGTGGACGCGTCTGTTTCGATTTCTGGGTACCCCACGCACACTTTGCATTGGAGTCGTTGGGCGGTTTCCCGTGCCCATGCGGCGCTTGGTCCCTTTCCAACCGGTTCAAGGAAGGGCCTGACTGCTTCCAACGATGGGAAGTTGTATCCTGAAAGAAATCTCGGTCAGTATCTGAGATATAGTCGATGGTTTCAAGAGCAAATAAATCCGACATCTGATTCTGCCCGTCTTGGTGATGCGGACTTGACGCAGTATCGAATAGAACATACCAGTGAACGCCATCTCAGGCAAGACCAAAATCTCCGGTCTCAGCAATTCTGCTCCAATAGAAATCCCGAGGTCCTGTCCACCCATCGAGATGTATTTTCCTTTCTTAAGCAACTCATTGGCGCGTCGAATGTTTCCCTCCACATCGCCCAGCTTCGGGGCGATCTGTAGTGTAGCGATCCTCATCGCAGCGAATCGCGAAACTGAGAAATTTCTTGTACTTTGAAATTCCTGATTATATTTGAATGTGTCGTTTGTTCGGGGCAAGTAATTGAGCAGACCACTTGAGTGTGAAGTGGGTGACGCGTAGAGTCGAAGTCTTGGTGTCCTTGGTCCGAGACGGACGCGGCTTAATGCCGTAGGTGCCAGAGTGATGTCAAGGGGTACACCGATATGAAGATTCAACTGAAGTACTAATTGACTGGTGATTGATCTGTGGGGATTGATCGAGTTCCGAACATGGGATTCGTCAGGTAGTTCGAGTTCGGGACGAAGGTCTCTTTTCTGGGATTGCGGGGATTGCTGACTGAGGTCGGAGATTTGGATCGGCGGCCCGAGGAGAGCGAACAACGCATCAAAGTAGGATAGGTGGTCTACGAAACTATACATGTTGGACCTTCATGAGGAAATAAATAAATTGGACATTCATTGGTTTGATTGATTCATAACTTGGAATTATTTGAAACAGCATGGGGGTAATGTACTGATAACCGCCCGAACACCATGCAAATGTGCGGTGGGCATGAGGTGAAAATCCTCACAATCGAGAAAAAAAGAGCCATAATAACGCCCAATACAAATGCAAAGTCAAACCCCCCTAATTTGATCCGTGATTTCACACACAAGAGTACAAGGATCTGTAAAACGCAGATTTCTCCTTATCCACCTATTCACTGTTCAAGTATTTGCGCTTCTCTTTGCGTTTATCCACCTGCGAGAAATCCAGCTCTTTGTAGGCCAGGCCGTGGGCTCCGGTCGCCCGAATTCGTCGCTCTGATGCAGACATGCTTCTGCCTAGACCTTCTGGCACATTCGGCGCATGCACCACCTTGTACCCATGAGGTCGAGGGGACTGGCTCAACGAGTAAGGAGAATTGAAGTAACTAGCAGAGGGGCTGTACGAGGACCGCCGCGCATCATACTCAGACGAGGGATCAAAAATCTTTGGCCCGGTGCGTAGTTGTTCTGCTGCAATCCGAGCTGCATTCAGCAACAGCTCGTCTTCATCAACTTGGCGGTTGTGTGGCTTCGAGACCTGGATTTCATCTTCGGCTGGTGTCTTACGCTCGATGAGAGCTTTGACGCGATCCAGACATGGCAGTTTCGGTAGCGCTTTGGCGTATGCTTCCGCAAGGGAGTACTTCTTGGCGGGAGGTGAAGATTCACTCGAGCCCGATGTCTTGAGAACTTTCGAACTAGATCTTTCTCGGGACATCTCGGCCTCGGCGGACTCATCCAATGCTCTTTTCCGGCTCCTTGCTTGTTCCTCAGCTTCCTTCTTCTGTTTCTCGGATGTTTGTCGAATGAACTCCTTCCAGCTGGCCTGGCGTTCTGCCTCTGTCTCCTCCGCTGGAGAGAAAGTTAGCAATGGTTTAAGAGAGACGGGGAGCAAAAGTATCGAATTACCGGGAGGATCTAGATTCGGGGATACAGAGAAAGCCGGTAGTTGAAGAGGTTCCTCCGGAGGATCAACTTGTTGAGTTAAAGCCTTGGCAGGCTCGGACGTTGTAACGTGTGCCGTGGGCTCTTTCTTTTCCTTGCCATCAATCTCTACAACTTCGTGTGGTTTCTTGAGCTCGGGCTGATCTCGGATTTCATGGTCCCCTTCGTCAGAGTCTTGAGCCTTTGTTTCTGACGTGGACTGGATAGAGGGATTCGCAGGAGGGAAGAGAGGCTTGGAAGTTGACAACTCGGGATGTGTAAATGGTGATGGTCCGGCTGATGCAGGCTGAAACAGACTCGGCATCGGTTGAGGTTTCGCTGGAACAGACTTGGAGAAATCGAAGGTGGGTGTTGCCGTTGCTTGAGTGTTTTTCGTTTCCTTATTGGTGCCATTGGGTGAGGCGAACAACGACGGCTTTGGGAAGCCACTGAAACTTGGGGTCTTGACGGATTCAAAGATACTTGAGGCTTCCTGGGTAGAGCCGATCCCTGGGCCGATAGATGCAGATAACTGAGATGATTGAGAAGTAGTTTGGGCAACAGGAAAATTGAAGGGATTCGTAGTTGGAGCGAAGAGTCCTGTTGATGTTGTGCTCTGCGAAGCAGGTTCCTGGGTCCCAACAGGAGAGAAAGGTGATTCGGTGGGAGCAAAGAAAGAAGGCGTCGGCTGAGCGGCTGATGTATTGTTAGTAGATGAATCGGCTTCCTTGGGTGCTTCGGAAGATTTGTGGCCCAAAGAAGAGGCAAAAGGATTCGGGGCCTCCGAAGACTTTTCCGTAGTATCATTGGATGACCCGCCATTTGTTAACTTCGACAAGGATGTCTGCGAGGGAGGGAGGGAGGAGCTTTGAGGCGAGCCGAGAGTCTGTGATGGCTTGAACGTGCCAAAAGGATTTGGAGTTTCTGCTGCCGAGACTGCCGGGGTATCTTCCTTCTTGGTCACTTCGGCTGGCTTTGTCGGTTTAGGGAATGCGAAAGGCGAAGATGGGTTTCGGAACAGGCTCTGAGCTTGCGATGTTTGCGAAGCTGCAAAGGGATTGAGGGGCACAGCCGGAGTGGCAGTGGAGGTTGTCGCCGGAGTTGTTTCGTTTGAAGCAGCACCAGAGAACGTCGAACCGAATGGATTGGGAGGCTGGGGCGCCTGGAACGGATTTACAGGCTGCGACGTAGCAGGAAGAGCGCTTGGTTGCGTGCTCACGGATGGGTTCACAGACGTCGGTGGTGTGGGGTTTTGGAAAAGACGAGGACTGTTAGGTGCAGGCGATTCCGATCCCAGTGGAGAGTCACTGATCTCAACCACCGGTTCGGGAACCCCATTACCGATGCTTGAGACGAAAAGAGAGTCATCCTGGTCAAGCGAGATATCCTTTGGCGATGGAGCTTTACGCTCATGAAGGGAAGATTGATCAACCATTCCCATCCGTGCTGCCTCTCGAATGCTCATACCCAGAACGATGGCTACCAGGCTTCTTCCAGAACGCTTATTTTCAACAAATGTTTCTGAATAGGCGTGCTCTGTCGACGGAGAAAATTCTGATGGGAGAGTAAGCGAACAGCACTAGCTGGGTGTAGTTTATGGGAGATTGGGCGAAACTCGGGCCACGTTTGCCTAGAATATCAAGAACTTACCGACAGATTCGATGTGACGAGATCCCCAGTTCAAATATTGCTGACCTTGCTCATTGAAAGCAAGCTCAAGGCCTTGTTCCTCGAGAAACTTTATTGTCTGCTCCTCATCGTCGAAATGCAAGACCTGGGTTAATTCATCGATTGTCCATTCCTCGTTCCGGTGTTGTTGGGATATTGGCGTGCGACAATACCCTTTCCAGATGGTCCGAATAGCTGTCTGTCGAACGTAGTTGAAGTAAATCTCAGCCACACATGCCATGAGGTATGAGACACTGCCCGAGTTGATAATATTGAAGAATCGCGTGTAAAACCCCTGGGCGATTGCATTCGGTCGACGTGAATCAAGGGTGCCTTGAGGTTGCCATGTATTGCACGAGGCTGTGTAAAGCTCCATGGCTACTTGGACGCGGGGGGGATTCGAGCAAAGACACCGGCCACTTCTGCACACGAGCCTCCAGATCGGGTCGTTGATCATGGATGGAGAAGATGATATAGTATGCGCGGAATTCATCCTCATTGGGGAAGACGATGCGACCACGATTATCATCATAGTAATATATAAGTGAAAGCATGGTGTTGTTGAGTTGCTCGCGTTCTTGGTGCCGGTCAAACGGTTCTTCACTCGCCGGGTTGGACAGCAAATGAAGCGAGACAATGTGAAATCGGGCAATTCGCTCCAGGCAGGTCACTGCTATTCTCACGTCGCTTTCCTGGGTAACCTGTTGGACCGAAAAGTCGTTACGAACAGACCGAGTTCGATCCCAGACAAATTTGTGAATCAGTGCTAGCGGTTCGGATCCACCAAGGACATGTCGAATCAGATAGTTAGTAGTCTGAAGAAGAGCCTTGGGAGTTCGAATGTCGGAAGGAAGCTGTTCATCGTAACCAGCTGCAGATCTTCGGAAACGCTTGAGCATTTTCCATTCCATATTCTGGAGGGCGTTGGTCGACGGGTGAAGATACTGACAAGGAGGGTCAGCGTCTGGCCTGGCAAAAAAACAAGAATGTATACCTTTTCGCACTTGTCCACCATTTTTTGTACAATACGTTCAATGCTCTCAAATTCGGGGCACATGCCCTCGCATGTTCCGACTGGCGTGATAGCTTGGTTAAGAGACGTAGGCTGGTCAGGATCGGCCATGTGGCCATCCTTGATGGCTTGTTGCCTTTCTTTCGCGCGATCAAGTTTGAGCTGCGAGTTTGGTCAGATGAACTGTCGATACCTTCGGGTTTGCATTAAGCTCCAGTGGAAATGATGCTGACCTGGTCATATCGTTGATGGTATTGCGCCAGAATAGAGCTATCCTCGACGGGAACTGGTTGTCCAGGAGCGCCATTTATCTTCCTCGTCGGCTTTACCCACTGATTATGTCTCGGTGCGCCTCCTCTAGCACCACCTCGAAACCCCCTTCGCGGACGATTCGAGTCCGGGACACGTGTTCCATTCGTGATTCCAGAAAAGGGCGAGTTCTTTTGAGGCTGGGCCGGGCCACCAAAAGGAGACGGGAAGGGTTTCTGTTGTTGGTTGATCTGGGTGAATGGTGAATTGCCGTTTTGAGAACCAGCTCCTTGCTGAGCCGTGACTGAGCCCGCACCCGCACCCGCAGCGCCAGCGCCACGACCGCGGTTTGGGAAAGTGCCCGTGCCTCGAGCCCGCCCACGTTGTCTGGGTCCCCTGAATGTGCTGGATCCTCCTCGGGGTTGAAGTTGAGAGCCACCATAGGATGGTGCGCCGCGGCCACGGCCATTCGCACCTGTCGGTGGTCCGCCTCTCTGGCCACGGGAAACACCAGCAAACGGGTTGAACGGAGTAGCCATTCTGTCCGCATTCAGCGGTTAAGAAAGGAAAGACCGCCTCCGGCCACCTCAAAAGGGTCCCCAGTAAATCTTTAAGTCTTGGTTATGACGAGATGGCGAGTTCTTCGATGATGTCGACAATTGAGAGACGGGGAAATAAGACAGAGTAACGAAGCAGCTGTTCGAGAAATCGGTTCGCCGAGGCGAGATTTAAAAGTCAGTCCATGTTGTCAAGATATATAATCGATTCGGTGATTCAGAACAAAGCGAGGCGCGATTGGAAGAAATATGATTGAATGAAAGCTGTCACGGGGTCCGAGGAGTGAATGCGCGGGGAACGGGTTGTCGAGGTACCTTTCGAATGTTCGGAGGTCGTACGATGGGTCTATGCGACCGAAATGATTGCGCGATCGTTATTTCTGTGAACGAGACCGGGCTGAAAGTTGCAAAGAGCTCGAGTCAACCGAGGCTGGCAACGGGTGGAGAGGTCGAAGGAGGTCTTCAAACAGTCGCTCAATGAAAAGGCAGAGTGACACGAAATCCAGAGAGCGTAATAATCGGCTGGGATGCTGTCCCAATTAGTATTCGGGGATGTGGCCTCTCTTGAAATAATAGCGAAGAAAGGCCCGCGGGTCGCGAGTTGAAGAGAGTCGCGGCGACGATGCGAGCTTCCAGTGGGTCCACTTGTCGCGGGTCAGGTGACCTTCCACATGGCCCAGTCTCACTACATCATGATCGTAAAACTAGTTAGTAATTTACTATTATTCTGTACTCCAGGCTACAACTATTGTGTCGATTTTTGTGTCAGCTATTGCACAATTGAATGTTTTCGAACATTTTTTCAAGTCATGACATCTCTCGTGTTTGCTACTATGTCCAAGGTAGTGTTTATCAACAACGTCCCGTCATGAGATACAGTGGTATTTGCCAGGAACAACAAGAAGAGTGTACAAGAACAACAAATAGAGAGATTAATCATGATTAGCGAAAGTCGATAAAGGGCAAATTATGTGAAGAATAGAAGAAATGGTTTCGAAATCAACCGGAAGATAAAGCCAGACAAAAATGAAAAGAAAAGAAAAATAATAAACCCAGCCAAAGTATTTCCATAAAAAGAGATCAACAAGAAGAAGAGGAAGAAGAAAAGGGATCAAAGGCAACCCTGAAGCAGACAAACCCAATCGTCACAGCACCAAACCATCTGAGCGACACCAAAGCATTTTTTTATCCACAAAATTTGGAAATCGACCTGTCACAAAAGAAAGAGAAGAAAGACAAACTCCCTCGCAAAGCCACCTGTATATTGTGCGCTTTCATATATTGGTATGATGTGATAAACTGAGCCATGTATTCATATATTCATTAACCGTTCTTATGCTCGCATAATCAACGAATTCCATTTCTCATCCCGGGGCCAGCCCGACCGATTCAATTAGGAAAGGTGGGTGAGTGGCAAGCCGTGTGGATGAGGGTGGCCCAAAGAACCAGTGCGGAATGGTAGAGACCGATTGATTGGATCCATAGGTGGCTGTTCATGAGTGGGCAAGCCATGCATGGAATGCGTCGGAGGGGCCATTGCCATGTTGTATGGCATCGAGGGCTGTGTAGTGGCTGGAGCATTGTAGCCTACCGGGCTGAAGATGTCTTGTCGGAAAGTCGGGGTGGACCAGTGCTGGTCTGGTGTCGAAGAGGGGTAAGTTGGCTGAGATGAGTAGGCGAAGACAGAGACATCATGGGGGCTAATCATTTCGGCAGTGACGGGGGTGCTTAGCATGCCTTGAGAGAAAGAGTCTGTGTATTGGGGTGGGGTGGCATAGAATGGGCGATCACGGCTCTCGAAGGTGAGAGGCTCTGCAAGAGAGAAGTTGCCAGGCAGAGAGCGAGGAGGGAGACCCATGCCGTCGATGGGGGTTGTAAGAGGAGCAGTCTGCTCAGATGAGCTCGGTGTGAGAAGGCCGTCTTCGAGATGCTCAATGTCCAAAACTGCTGCGGGGCCGTCACTAGATTCTTCTTCCTCATCACCCTTTGGGCTTGGTCCACGGTTCATTACGTAGACCAAAGTGTTGCCATCGACTTCACCACGCTCCCATCGCTCCTCCATCTTGCGAACGCGGAGAACTTCCAGGATGATGTCCACATGAGAAGGGTGCTTCAGGCTGCGTTTAGTATCACTGGCAACTTCCTTGAGCTTGTCAGATGTGATTCCGAAACCTCCAAGTTTGCGGATGATATGAAGCAAGAGCTCAATACGATCTATCAATTTGGTGTTAGTATATTGATTACAAACCAAATCTGGGCGTCAGAACATACACTCTTTGCGAAGGTGGTCAGGCTCCTTGTGCATGACACCGGGGGGCCACCATTCGGGCTTGGTCTTCTCAGGGTCACCGGTAGTACCGGGGGGAGATCCAGCTGGAGGTTTGCCACCGTTGTAAGGGTGCCTCACTTGCTTGCGAGGCTCAATGAACTTGATGAAGGCCTTGGCGACCATGCGGCAATTTAGTTGTTGGAAGTGCTTGAGAGCACCCTCATAGTAGTTCATAAGCTTTGTGGCATCTCCAACGCGAATAGAGGTAGTCTCATTACCCGCGGGGGAGTAGTCATCACTATCAGAATCATCAGCCAGTCGGCTGTGGGTCATAGAAGCCGGGCATTGCCGCGGCGGCGGCGGACTCTGCGCGGAGATGCTAAGAAATGATTAGTTTACATACGAAATGGCACGTATTAGAGAAGAACATACCCCCAGAGAGAGGCTGGTGGAGTCCAATTTTCTCGCCTAGTGTCTCAAGGAATGTCTGGCGAACATCCGGAGAGAAGAGTGTCATATTCTGCTCCGTGATGCTGGGTGACTCTTCGCAGCCCAGCTTGCCTGTGCTGTCAACATAGATAAGCGCATAGTGGGCGAATGGAATATGGCACGATGATTGTGGAGCCATCATAGGCTACTTCAATGTTAGATCACAGCTCGCAGTATAATGCCTATGCCGAAACAAACTTACAGGAATGACGTCCCAGCCGGGGGGGACCTTCCAGCGCAGAGGCGGACCGTTTCATGGCGCCACTGGTGGGGTTGGGCTTATGGTAAACCATTTTGGAAGGGACAGGGTCCTGAGGAGGGTATTGAATGTCGTGTTCTCCGAGCTTTGAGTTCACAAGAAACGGGGAAAGATAATGGAGCGAAGTAGAGCTGGTTTCTTCAAAGGTGTCGCGAGTCGGACAGGACCTTTTTATACTAGATCGAGGATCTCACTTTGGATGGGACTGGTTGAGAAAAACGTTAGTCGCATGCTCTCGTCCTCTCAAGATGCCAATATTCATCGACTCAATCCAGTTCCCAAAATGGTCACTGGCAGCTTGCCAATCCCCAACGGCCAACCGATCTCCCACTCCTCCCCGGCGGGTGGCGGTAGGAACGCAGAATGACCATCTTGGGGACGGGTGAAGTCAAGCTTATTGAGAATGGGACTATGCTTGGGATGATAAGCAGGCAAATACTAACAGGAACTCAAGAACGAGGTCGGCAGGCCAGGTGGTATTCAAATGGTTCGTCGGTTATGCGAGGGAAGACTGCAGGAGAAAAGACAGTTGCTGTTGGCAACCGACGGGGCAAGTGCAGGAACTGAAGACGATTGACGGGTTCCCCGGACGGAACTGTAAGGTGTGTGGTGACACGGACGGGGGTGGACTGGTTGTATACACAATATATGATGGAGTGTTGACTTGGAACCTTGTTCACGGATAGGGCAAGGTGGGGTCTAATAACGATTGGAGGGGGAGGGTTCCAGAGAATCGAAACTTGTGGATTCAAAGAAGAAGAGGGGGGAAGACGAGGGTGTTTAAATCATGTACATCTCGAATAGAAAAAAAAAGGGCAAAACGACACTTGGGATGGTGGGCTATTTTAGCGGTCCAGGCAATTGACAAAGTACCAAAGTCTGCGAATAACCCCGGAGCGGCCAACCTGTGCCACATCGAGCATGGATGATCCTTGAAAGTATCGACAAGCCGGGGGATCCCCGACAGTTTCTGATCTTGGGTCTGCAGACTGCAGATTGGCGTGGTGCAGTTCCAGAGTGCCTTAGCTGCTGCGTTAGCGCTTGGTAAAAAGTCCCCGTCCCGATTCGTGATCCCTGTCCAACTATTTGTAGATCGTGGATTTGATTTGATTTGATTTATTTTTGTTTTTTATTTTCTTTTTTATAATTCTTCATTTACTAATGTATTTCTTTCCATATTATTTTATTTTATTATTTTATTTTCCCTTCCCATCCCATTCCTATTCTTATTCCTGTTCCCATTCCCCCGCCCCTCCATCCACTCTATTTCTCTTTAATCATTATTATTCATTGCAATCCGATTAAATGCCCCCCATTTAGCGCCGGAGCATCCCCCAAAGTAGCGTGGCGCTGTCGATTATCGATCGGCCTCCCCAGAGGGTCGGTGTTTCTTGTTCCACCATCGACTATCATATGTACTTCTGCTAAATGTCAGATTTCAATTGCCCGTAGTCACCCAATCTCTAACATAAAACAACATCGGAAAAAAGGAGTCCTCATCATAAAAGTCCTCATCATAAGAGTCCTATGAAACAGGTTCCATCCACTTTGACCCGTTCTGACGGCGGGCTGAAGCGCAGGATCCACGCCAACCAGGGTTTCTTTGTTTGGCGGGGCGATACTACCTCCTAGAATTCGATGGAAATTATTAGCCTCCAACCTATCGCGAAGCTGTATACTACAGTGCCTAGAATATAGTATTCCCACCAAGATGCACCACACTTTCAAGCTGTCAGGGCCGTGTTCCTCAAACCGAGCCCTGCCTTGCGTCGGGGTCCACGTAATGTGGGTGCTATTCCCATGCATGCAGATCTCTTTCAGCTGTCGGGGCTCCCGTACAGTACTACTGGTTTGGCATGAAAAGTTTCAGTGCCTCTCATGTCTCGATCTGAACTTTCGCTTGCTCTGTACTGGAGAATGCTTTGTTCGATAGGGACAGGGAGAAGTTTAATGACATCAAAGGTA